ATGACTGATTAATTGAATGTTCATGTTTGAGTAAGGCTCTTGCATGGATATAAGTTTCTTAATAATGTTTAGCTTTTACCATCATTGAAAAATTCTACAGGTATCCTATTCAGCAGTTGCACCTTATCTAAATTCATTGCAAAAGTACCATATTTCTTACTAGAAGAGTTTGGATTCTGTCTCCGGAAATAATTAGCTTAATTTCCTACCCTACAGGTCATGTGTTGGCGTAAGTTCAGAAGTTATTAATGTGAGTTTTGTGTAAATTTTCTTAAACTTCGCCTTTCCTAAGTATATGTGTCATGTACAGAATCCTCATTTTTCCTCTGTCATCTGGTTTTGTGAAGCTGACCTTTTGGAACTTAATACATGTGCTCCAAATTGTAAATGTTAAACAGGATCATGTAATTTTGAACTGCAGAAATGCTGGTGAGTGCCTGTGAAAACTGTTAGAGTGAAGGGCTTATCCACACTTTCCTTTCCTTTGCTCTTTCCAAGCATGGTCTGTGTTTTAAAGCTCCATGTCCAAGAGTGCCCTTTTTTTGCTTTGGATATTTCACTGTAAAAATCCACTCTTTAAAGCTCAGTTGGAGCAAACCATAATATATGCTCTGATTGAACACTAAAAAGTAGGTTTTCATGGGGACAAAATTATTAGGACAAAATTATTAGGACAAAAAATAAATAAAAATAACGCTCAGACACAGAGCTTTTCAGCACGGACCTGTGCCTGGAAAGAGCAGGGCAAAGATTCAATGTGAATAAGCCCTATGTGTCCATCAGTGTTAGAAACTCAGCTAATTGCCAAATGAAACCTTAAGCCTAGATAATGGTTGCCACAACAGAATGTCTAGACACCATTCCAGGTCTGATTCATTTTATTTCTATACCGCTTTATATTTTAAAGAAAAAATCTCAAAATGGTTTACAACACATTTATACATCAAGTAAAACAATCCAGAATAAAACAAATTCAAGCTTCAAGGAAAATATTTTAGACCCTTCTCTAAGTTACATTTTGCTTTCCTGATATTTATTTACCTACTTAATTTATATAGCTGCCCCATAGCAGAAGTACTCTAGGAAGACTGTGTAGGTTAAGAGTGTTGGGACTAAAACCTGGGAGATCAGGGTTCAAATCTCCACTTTCCATAGGTAATGTTCACAGCTGTGTGGAAATTGTTGGATGCTCTGCCCACCTTCTCTTCTGTGTCAGCAAGCAGTAGAAAACAAAGAAAACCAAAGCAATTGATTAATCACCGTAATCCTCTCAGTTTACTTTTATAAACTTCAGGTTAATCAAAATTAATGCTGGGTCTCTTCTAAATAGGAAGGTAGCTGGTTACCTTCCAGTTTACTAAAAATCTCACTTAAAAGATTTGTGGAGGGGGCTACTAATTGAAAATTACCTTTAGCTATCAAGTGCTGCTGTTCTGCATGGTGTGTGTTAAGGTTGTGTGACAGTTTGTTTGGTCCTGCCTACTTCTGGAATTCTCCTTCTCTCCCACTTTCCATGGGAAGATGCAGACCATCAAAAAAACTTACCATCCCTGCTTTAGGAAGGATTATTTTTGGTTCAAATACAACTTAACTTTCTAAGCCACTAGTTGAATAGCTTGATCTTATTTATTTTGACTAGATACCAGGGAAGCAGGGAGCCCATGTATGTAATCCACCAACCCCCCATCCCTCTGTGTACTTTTCCATGGTCAACTCATGGCTGAATTTATCTTCATTAGCAGGGTTCATAACTTAAAATTTTTCCAAAGAAGCAAGAGTGCTTTAGTTAAAAATATATCTGGCAATAGCCACAAAAGTCATGAGTGTACCAATCAGCTTCCAAACGGTAAATGAACCCTTTTAATGAAACTTAGGGAAGAACGTCTGTGGGGGCAGACACTCACCACAGTCATGTGTAAAGCTGTAGTTTGTGCTGAACCCACCAGGAAAGCTAAGGGGCAATGTGAAAAGCAGGAAACGTTATTGCTATGAGCTGCTGTGCCAATTTGGAACAGCAACAGAGAATGTAAAAATATTTCCATCCCTAGTGCACAAAACTTAAGATTTCAGAGTAAATATAAAGATGAAAATGGACTTTTACTAACATAATTACTACTACTATTACACAAAATTATTATACTTGAGTTTATTTATTAAACAATTTGTATATTATACATAGATAAACATGTGTACACATGTGATAATAGTGATATCATGATAGTACAGTCTAATACTTAAATGATTAAGTACTTAACAAGGAAAAACCCCAGTAAGAAATAAACAGTACCTAATATTTAATTTATAAACTTATTATAATATTTGATATTTGGTTTAACCAATACATAACAGCCTCTCAATTTTTCATTGAATTGATCACTGAGTCTGCTCTCTCTTCTAGTGACTAAATTAATCAATTTTATCATTTGAACACTCCACCCTCAACCAATACTCTAGATATCCAATCACCCAGTTCTGAAAAACTGGATTTCCCCCCCCCCCCAGTTATAACTGATTGCCATACATGAAGCTTTTAATAAATGTATTAGAATATCTATCTTTGGCATAGCCAGGTTGGATAGCAAGTGAGCTCACCGGCAGGACATCTCCGATTACCTCCATTTCTTTAATTACCGCCATCTAAAAGGCTCTTTAGAGCCTTTAATTACCGCCATCTAAAAGGCTCTTTAGGGACGCGGGTGGCGCTGTGGGTAAAAGCCTCAGCGCCTAGGGCTTGCCGATCGAAAGGTCAGCGGTTCGAATCCCCGTGGCGGGGTGCGCTCCCGTTGTTCGGTCCCAGCGCCTGCCAACCTAGCAGTTTGAAAGCACTCCCGGGTGCAAGTAGATAAATAGGGACCGCTTACTAGCGGGAAGGTAAACGGCGTTTCCGTGTGCGGCTCTGGCTCACCAGAGCAGCGATGTCACGCTGGCCACGTGACCCGGAAGTGTCTCCGGACAGCGCTGGCCCCCGGCCTCTTGAGTGAGATGGGCGCACAACCCTAGAGTCTGTCAAGACTGGCCCATACGGGCAGGGGTACCTTTACCTTTACCTAAAAGGCTCTGGTTTTCATTCATGTCATATATACACCCTTGTGCAAATTAATTGAAACAAACAATGTAGTTTATTGTATAAAACTCAAATATGCATGTACAAAACTCACATATACAGTAAGGGGGGAAAGTATTTGATCCCCTGCTAAATTTGCCCGTTGGCCCTCTGTCGAAGAAATGACCAGTCCATAATTTTAATGGTAGGTTTATTGTAGCTGTGAGAGACAGAATAACAACAGGAAAACCTCAAGAAACCCAGAAGACAAAAGTCAGAGATTGATGGGCATTATAATGGGTGAAGTAAGTATTTGATCCCTTTGCAAAAGATGACTTAGTACTTGGGGGCAAAACCCTTGTTGGCGATTACAGAGGTCAGGTGTTTCTTGTAGGTGGCCACCAGGGTTGCAAACACCTCAGGAGGTATTTTGTCCCACTCCTCTCTGCAGTTCCTGATGCAATATCCCAGCTGCTTTCAGGATACCTCTTTTCCAGCTCTGGAATAACTCTCTTTCGTAGAACCTCAGTATATTGCGGCAAGCGCATAATTCCTTCTGTTGGCTGCAGGCTTCTGACACCATAATGATCAACTGGCATTCGTGTGTTTTTTGAGTACAGGATTATGAGTAAGATAGAAAACATTCTTTGTTTCAGTTAATTTGCACAAGGGTGTACCTGCACTTCTGTTGTTCCATCTTCAACATAGATTGTTTGAACCTCTCTGAATAGAGTTGAGCTCTAGGAAGGTTAAGTACCAGCAAAGAATTAATTAACAAAAATAACTAATGCTGATTGTTTGGTGTGGAACATTTTGCCATGACCGTTTCCAAGTGTGCAGACTTGGTGCATTAATTGTAGATTTCATTATAAGACAAACATCCTACTTCTCAGTTACTCCCCCTCTGGTTGCATTATTAACTTTTTGTTCCTCCTTGTCCTGAGGGTTCTTGGTGGTTTATAGAGTTGAGAATTCTTGCTTAAACATTGAGAAAAACCTGTTTACCCTCCTTACTGAACAAATGGTTTAAAGCTGACTACATAAAGTATTTTAAATGTACGTTATATCATTTTTCTGGTCTGCAATCTTCCAAAGTGGTGTACAAAGTTTGAAGTGATAAAGATTATACAGTACCATCAAAGACATTAAACAGTCAGTAGGATTGAAATTGTATCTAAAACAGTCTGGCGTTTGCTTGGGGCTGAAAAAACTATAAAGTAGGTGCCAGTCAAATGTCTTTGGGGAGGGTGTTTGACAACTGGAATGTTGTCACACTCTCACCAGTAGCAGCCCAGGTCAGCTCAGATGCTGGGGTCACCTGCTGGAAGTGCTCCACTGGAGATCTTAATATTTGAGTTCATGAGGTAGACTCCATGAGGCAGCTGCCTTGGGTGGTGGAATTGCATGGGGTGGTGTTCTGCTAGCCCCTGATGCCACTGCTGGATAACTGAGGAGAACTGGCAGTGGCTTCCAGTGAGATCTTGCTAGAAACTGCCGCTGTTCAATCCCAGTAAGTGAGGCTTTGCCAGGCCGGGTGGGGGGTGAGTGACACCTTCCCGTTTGGCTTCAGACAGCAAAATGGGATTGGCTGCCCTGTGTTTGGATACATGCAAGCAGAGTTGCATACATGCAAGGGGGTGGTGTTCTCTATATTTTAACACCTGGGCACATGATCTCCCTCTTGGAACCAATCCTTATAAATCTCAATACAAAGTTCTACCCACTTAAAACCACACCTACCTGTGGATCTTTAGTAAAGTCTGGATCAAAAATACTGGTGTTTGTGAGAGCTCTATACTCCATTCATTATGTGTTTTTTAATTGTCATTTAAACGTAGACTCAGGAGGGAATTTCAAGGACATTTTTACCACTTAAGTTATTTCAGAGATTAAAGAGAAAGAGGATTATTAATGAACGGTAAAGATTTGTAAATGAACATCTTACATTGTTCTCTAGGTATTTCCAGGAAAATGGATGACGACGACTTTGGAGGTTTTGAGGTATGGAGCTAAGAAATAGTTTGTAAGCATTCAGTTAATACAGTGTTAAACTAACTTATTTACCGTAGATTCCGGCGTATTAAGTGACTGGGCATATAAGACGATCCCCAACTTTTGCTGTTCAATTTTAGAGTTTTAGAGTTATAGAGTTTGAGCGCTGCCAGGGGCAGAGCACGCACCCCTCTACTGCTTCTGCTATCGCAGCAGCAGCCCAAGGCGAGGCGTTTGGCGTGCAGGCGGGTGAGTGCCACGCTCGGAAGGACTTTCCGTGTCCCCTTCTGTGGGGAGGGAGGAGGAGCGACGGCAGAAGGGGCGCCTCTGCTCACCAGCTCCCTCTCCTCCTTCCCAACGCGTATACCCGGCTTATAAGATGACCCCCAACTTTTGGGGTGATTTTCCAGGGATAAAAAGTTGTCTTGTACGCTGGAACATACGGTATGTTCAATCTTAAATAATTTAAAGTCTCTCCTTAAATAACTGTTGTTTTCAAGGGCAACCCAACACAGAATGCACTGCTGTAGTCCCAAGGAGCATGGCTACTATGGCACCCATGTAACATTTGTGGACTACAGATCTGGAAGAGGAATCATGTGGAGGTTGCAGCAATAGAGATGTAATATCGCAAAGAGCACAGAGTGGAAATGTCTTCTGTTGTTGCCCATGTGACTGGATTAACATAATGGAACCTCTCATTTGCAGTCCCTTCACATTGAGCTGGGGTGGTGGGGGAATATCATATCCTCAAGTGTATGGCAAAAACATGTTTAAACTAACATGGTATGCAACACTGTACTATACAAGAAATGTAATGTGTACCTGATCAGGACGTGGTGCTGGAAAGTCCACGTCTTAAACACTAATAATATGCCTTGTATTTTCAGGCAGCAGAAAACTTTAAGGATGGAAATGGTGAACCCCCAGTTACTTCTCCAGCTATTCCTTGGGCAGCATTTCCCACAGGTAGAGAGAACAAGCAAAATCAGGTTTTACTTTACCAGTTTAAATTAGAGCATCTGGAATAAGTCCATGAACTCTGAACCATTTTGTTGTTGTCCATGGCTACTATTGAAGTGACCTTGGAGACTATTTATAGTGTAATTATGTAATTTTAAAGCATACTGCTTGATAAATGTACATTTGTAACTTCTCTATTTAGTGCTGGTGTGCAGTTTTGTTACTCAAAAGCAACTGCTGTCATATATATATATATATATATATATATATAATATATATATATATAATTTTTATTAACAAACCAATCAAATCACATTAGTTCCAAATTACATAGCCAAATTTTAAAATTTTTGTTGGGGGTACCCATGCTTCGAGCTCAGAAAGGGATCCAAACATCTCTCTTGCTGCTGCTTTGATGTTACAGTTCTGTCCAAATAGTATTCACAGTTCTATCCAATCTTCTCTTTATTATTTTCCTCATTTTCTTGTTGTTGTCATATATTCCTTTCTTTGTGACCTCTGATAGTCTCCACAAGCTGGTTGAAAACAGACGTTGTTTATCCCGTGTGGATTTTCCGTTCCCCCAAGAGCCATATTTCACACAAACAGACGCCATTTCCACACTTCCGAACAAAACATTCTTAAAGTCTGCCCATTAAATCCTTGCAGGTCTGACAATCTCTCCTCAATCTTAGGGGGTTCTGCCAGGTCGAACTCACATTCCAATTACCATGGTCTCCTCCCCCTCGATCGTAAATCCAGTAGCCTGGCCTGCTATTAAACAAGTCTCTTTTTATGACTGCGTCATTCCAAAGGCTCTTCGTTCCTTCCCCGATGTTTCACAAACCATGTCTTTGATTAGTAATTCATTTCCACACAGTTCTTAATCATCCCGCTTATAATAGGTAATTGCAACGGTTCTTCTTGGGGGGAGAGTTGTTGGGTAATCACATAAGGTAAAAGAAAAGAAAAGTCCCCCCCCCATTCCGTCCCATTCCGACATACCGATCCTTTGAGGTATCTTCTTGTTATGTTTTCCTGTTAAATCCAACCGATTGCTCCACTTCACAGAGGTCACTTCAGTTAGCAGTCTTAACTCCCGTTCTTCGCTCGAAAAATGTGCATTTGCTTCTCTCTAATTGTTTATTTTGAGCTCCTGCAACCAGGCCGCGCGATCAGAGACAGCGACAGGGAGAGCCTTCTCATACAAGGGCTGTGTGCCTAGTGCCCTCACCCCCTTCTTTCGAATCCGGGGGTGATTTATGGCAACCGCAGGGAAGGCAGTGTTCCCCATTCCCTTGGGGTAACAAGGGAGGCTGCATACTCCTGTGTTGTTTAGTCGTTTAGTCGTGTCCGACTCTTCGTGACCCCATGGACCAGAGCACGCCAGGCACTCCTGTCTTCCACTGCCTCCTGCAGTTTGGTCAGACTCATGTTTGTAGCTTCGAGAACACTGTCCAACCATCTCGTCCTCTGTCGTCCCCTTCGCCTTGTGCCCTCAATCTCCCATATTAGCCTCTTAATTACCTCGTGTGAGCCGGAGAGATGGTATTGTCGGCTATCTTCCAATGCGCCCCTAGTGGCCCCCCTGTCATAAATATTTTTGAATGGGTCTGGTGCTATTGCGAAAGTCTAATGTCAAACATAATGTATTCTGTAGCTTAATGCTTCTGAAGTTGATAGTCTGTTCTTTTAAATGGATAGAACTTTAAGGAATGGGTTTTTCTTATGCAAACATATACCTACTTGACTTACTCTTTTTAGTTGTTACTCATAACCTACAAGAAGAGGCAGTGTTAGCATTTGTACAGGTTTTATGCTGATTTGTCATATTTGATACCTTAAGAATCTTTTGCTTTTACTATTGGCAGGATTTATGTAATTGGATGTGAAATTCATTCTAGTATTTCCACTATAGATTTCTAATTAATAACACTATATTTTCTGGTCCTAGCAGTAGTAAAAAGCTTTGATTTTATTTGATTTATTGTATTTCTGTGCCACTTTTCATTCAAAGCAGCTTACAAACAATATATAACAATAGCATAATAAAACAGAAAATAAACATCACAATTACAACATAAGTCATATGATTAACAAATCAGTATAAAACAATAGTTACAAAATAGCAACTAAAAGCTAAATAAGCTAAGCTAACGCCTGTTGTTAAGCTTGCTCAGCCAGAAGCTGTGTTGGCTGGGGTCCTCGGGCAGTGGGCCATGGGGGAGATGGTGGGGCTGTTGGGCCTATTGCCAGTGGTAAGGTGAATGTTGGCCCCAGGTAGCCTGCCCAGGTTCTGTTGATGAGGAACTTACCCACATCACTCAATAATCAGGAGGTCCATTCCCACTTGGGGAAGTCTTCCCTCACTCAGCGCCAGGGCTGCATTCAAAATTAAAACTGAAACTTTCCAGAAAACCACAAAGCCAACAAACTTGCAACTCACGAAAAAGCAGCAACACAACAAATTGAAAAAAGCAAACCAACCCCAAATGAATCAAAATCACAAGAAAACATGAAACAACACTTACTCTAACCCAATCCTAAAATTAACCCTAACCCTAACCCAGAAATGGTCTGGTTAGATAGTAAAATTGATGTTAAATTGCTTTTTTAGGGGTTGTTTTTAAAAGTCTGGAATAGATTAATCTGTTTTGCATTACTTTCTATGGGAAAGTGTGCCTTGGTTTTGGAACGCTTTTGTTTTGGAACAGACTTCCGGAACTGATTAAGTTTGAGAACCAAGGTACCACTGTACATCTTTGTTGTCTCTCTTCATGAAGTATTCTAAGCCAAGATAAAACAGGCCTGTCTCAATTTAATGTGTCTGCTGTGAACTGCACATTTAGGCTTCCTCGTGCGAAAGCCACTGCTTTTTAAAAAGGTTATAACTTTTCGTACAATATCCTTGCACTGACAAAGATTGCAAAAAGACAGTCTTTTCTTTGTTTCAGAAAGCATTTTGCTGTACCTATATAAGTGAATTTACTTGTGAATAAGAGCAACAATCCTCCCACTTTAAGTATTTTTTTTTTTTGTGCAGCTATGAACATTATTTATTAGAGAGAAATTCCAGTTCTGAGGCATACTTCCAAGCAAATTTTAGGATTAGTGTGTGTGTTTTTTTAAAATTTTTTATTTATTAAGGATTTTCTTGTTTTACAGAAGTGTAGTGCCTCGTTTTTTGTTTGTTTTTTCATGTAACATTTTTACAAATCCATTTCATTTGTTGAGGCATTAGGGGGGGAAGAAAAAAGAAAGAGAGAAGAAAAGGGGGGTGGAGAGAGGGAAGATGGATGGGGGTGGGGTCGGGTGGCGGTGTTTCTATTATGTTTAATGTGTGTAGAGTTTGGTGTCAGCGTTGTTTGTGTTGTTCACTTGTGTTCCTTTGGTGGTGAGAGAGGTTGGGGTTGGCCTAGAGTGTGATTGTTTGCTTGTGATTGGCTGTGGTGATCTTTGTTTTCGTGTGTGAGTGAGGTGGGTGGGTGTTTTGGATCAGGTTAGCCATATTGATTTGTATGCTGTTGGTGGATTATTGTCATTGTCCTGTTGGGCTGTGTGTGTGATAAAGGGGAGCCATACCGGGGTGAAGGTGTCTTCTTCTGTTTGTCCCCGTGTCAGTTTCAGTTTATTAGTTAATTTTTCTAGTAGGGCTGTTTCCCATACTATTTGGTACCATTGGTCCATGCTTACTCCTGACAGGTCTCTCCAGTGTCTGGTTATGGTATTTCTGGCTGCTGAGAGCAGGAGGGTTATGAGTTCTTTGTGGTGTAAATGGGCATTGTTGTCTTGGAAGATGTTTAGTAGGGCCAATTCTGGGGTGATGTCTATTACTTGCTTAGTTATTGTACATATTTCTTGTATGGCTGTCGTCCAGAATAGTTGGATTTTGGGACACTCCCACCACATGTGGAGGTATGTGCCTGTGGAGGTGCACCCTCTCCAGCATTTTGGTGAGGTTCCTGGGTGTATTAGCGCTAGTTTCCTTGGTGTTAGGTACCACCTGTAGGTGAGTTTCAGTGTGAGTTCTTTTCTTTTCGTTGATATGGATTTAAAGGGGGGTTTAGACCACATTCTGGTCCATTGAGTGGGGTTAATCTCATAGCCTACGTCATTCTCCCATTGTTTTTTGATTGCGTCTAGGGGATTTGCGGGATTTTGGAGTAGTATTTTGTATATTGCGGATACTGTCCCTTTACCGTTTCCCTGTATTGCACACAGGACTTTGTATTTCAGGCCTAGCTCAACACATTCCTCCTCTTAAAACTATCTTCTTCTTTGTCTACCTAAGGAGGCCAGTTTATTATAACAGTGATCAATGTTTACAATGCTGAACTCGCAGCTTGGTTCTTTATAGGTTTGTAATCTGTATCAAGGATCTTTTGATATTCCTTACGATGTTTCCAACTTATTGGATGATGTTTCCAATAATAATAATAATAATAATAATAATAATAATAATAATTTATTATTTATACCCCGCCCATCTGGCTGAGTTTCCCCAGCCACTCTGGGTGGCTTCCAATCAAGTGTTAAAAACAATACAGCATTAAATATTAATTATTATCTTAATATCTGTGCTATAAGCAGTGGTGTAGGATGACCCCCCCAAAAAAATTCCCCACAAGTTTTCTCACTGATCCATGTGGGAGGCACGTTCACAACCCGTAGCGCTGCGTCTGCGCATGCGCGGGTTGCAATTTGGCACTTCTGCGCATGTGCAAGCGCCGAAACTCGGAAGTAACCCGTTCCGGTACTTCCAGGTTCGGTGCAGTACGCAACCCGAAAATACATAACCTGAAGCGTCTGTAACCCAAGGTACCACTGTATTGGTTAAGTGTGCCAGTTTCTAAGGTTTTAGCTTTGTTTACCTGCTCAATTAGATCACACTCTAGGGCATCTGAAAATTTGTCTGTGTACATTACCTAATCGGAAACTCCATAATGCAGCCAGTCCCTGTGCAGCTTGCTGTAAGTTCTAGCCAGCTGATTGGTGCTTACTGAAAGCTTTGCTTGCCAAGGAACATTTGGAAGTGCACTTTAAGGCTTCATCTTGTTCCTTTGCAGCCTTTACTGCAAATGACTTTTTGGATTATCTTTGGGAAGTACGGAAACCAGATAGACAAATGCAGGTCTTTCCATGTTGAGCATTAGCATACTCCATGGTTTCCTGTGCCTCATTTGTGGTGTTGCTTCCTGTCACCTTAACAGCATTCTAACCCCCTTGATCCCTTTTCACTCCTTCCATTCTCATGTCATTCCAGTAGTGGCTGTAAAATATCAAACAGTCTTTGGAATACAGTTCAGAAACAGTACATCTGTGCATATAACCATTAAGAAATAGGTTTCCACTGGTGCAGGCTTTGTGGTTTTTGGCATGCAGTGTCTTGCTTGTGCATAATGAGAACCTAAGGGACTAAGACACACCTGTGTCTATTATCCAAATCTTGCAACAGATGGGGAGGAGATTCATGCATGTGCTTTGGGGTGCTTTTTGGGTCTGGGAAAAAGCAGCTCAACCATACATTGTGATGAAAAATGTGGGAGGCCAGGTTTTTCTCCATTTCATATATGTGTGTAGTAATGAGATAGTCTTAATCTAAAAATGAAACATGTGATACTTGAAACTAGTGTTATCAGGGCACAGGTCAAAATCTAATATAGTCATAAGTTGTGTGCAGAGTGGAAGCTTGCTTGATTTGTAGAGCCCTGATATCCCTGCTAGTACTTAGACTACAGCTGTCACCCATTTAAAATTTAAACAAGACTTTTAGCAGACTTTAAATCTGCATAAACTATGCTTCTGAAGAGGAAAAAGAGGTAAACTGTGCAGATCTATTGCGTTAATGGGGAAAGAATTAGATATATAATTCTGTGACCATACAAAAGCAGATACAACAAACGCACAAGCATAGGAGGAGGTAGGCGTGAGTAACTGGAGGAGTAGGTGTGTATCTCACATATTAGCAGAATGGGGTGGGACCCCACCATGACAGGATTTTCTTATGTGGAGGCCAGTAGCAGTGTTTGCTCTTCAGTTAACATGAATAGATTTTACTATCTTGAGTTAGAGCTCCCAAGGGAAATCTTTTTGCAATGTTGGCTTGGTGGTATTGCATTGCCCAAAGCGATGCATAAGACTTGTGAAATCAAAGGGGCTGGACTGGAAGACAATTGGAGTCCCTTCCAACTCTGCAATTCTATGCTCACCATCATTGAGGTGATCCATGTAACTATTTTGGCAGCTTTCTCATGATGCTACCGATCTCCTTGCCTTGAAAAGGAAACCACACTGAAGCCACCCGTCTGGAAACAGCACTGAGTTTTGTCCCATTATATGTGGCCCTTAGTTGAGATTACTGCATTGCAGGGGGTTGGACCCTTGGGATCCCTTCCACCTCTACGATTCTGTGTATCTTTGCTAGGTCTGTTTTCTTGTAGTCTAATGAATTGACTGTGCTTTCAGCAATGTCTAGACATGTCAACATAGACATTGGGTAGCTCTGCTTAGCATCCATCTTTCAGGCCAACAGTGTCCTTAACTTTTCTCCAGACAGCGGTTCTTTGGTAGCCCTCTCAAAGCTGGCACTTTCCAAGGAAGGAGCAGAGAGCTGCTGACATGTCAGCCCCTGGAAGGGAAACGAATGAAACAAATGATAAAATAATTTACATCTTTTATTATTCATTTTATTACCTCTTCATAAACAGCATTTTCTTGAGATCTAAGCCTAAGGGCAGAGGATCTTAGTGGTGTGCTAGCAAGAAGGTTGCTATCTCCTGGCATCTTTCTTAATACATTCCTCAGTGGGGCAGAGGCTTTAATCCTTGCCAGTGTGGAAATGCTGGAGCCTGCAGCAAAGGATTATACAGTCAAGTACTTGAGCTATCTGGGAGATTATTTCACTCCCTTTCCAGATCGAGTAACCCAGGAAAATATTAATGCCTGTCTTGGCAATTTGGCATCTTTTAGAGATGCAGGGCACTTGGGGGCTGGTGTAGACAAGCAGTTCCTCTGCAAATGACTTCAACTGATCGCTCACACGCAATGGTATGAGTATTGCAGGCATTTTCTAGCCTTCTCATTTTTGAAAGTGCTCTTGGAGGTGTCCTTCATTTGCTTACTATTGAAAGAAATATGTGGACACAAAACCATTCTACATCTCAGGGACCCATGTATGCATAAAAATCAACCACAGTGTACATACATAATGACATCTAGAATGTGAACAAATGAATTTGGCTTTGCATATTGCCAAATCAGTGTTCATAGTCAGTGTTCATCATAATGCCAAGGAAAATGCAGAGCATCCAACATTAATATTACTTTGTCAGTATGCATATTATAAAAACATTAAAAGGCAGGTATTCTCTGGTTGAGAGTCCTTGCTCTTTATGTAATTCATCATCCAATGCTGAACTGGAGCTGTTCCTATTGACCAAAACAGTGTCCATAATTTTTGATACGTATACATTTGTCTTTGATCTCTAGTGACTGGTGAATAGCAGCTGTTTTTCTTTAATCCACATTCTCTGTCTCATATTGAGCCCAGCACATTGTCAGGCTTTGGAGAAATGGCTCCCTCCCCCGCTTTGGCTGTGCATTAGCAGAACAAAGCAATTAGAGTCCCTTACCAGTTTAAGAGTGTTTAATGATCAGAGCAAAGGAACAATGCAGCCATTCTCAGAATAAAGGTGCTCCCAATTAAGCTTCCCTCCTACTCCCCCCCCCAAGTTATCTTCGTCACTTCCCCCTTCTTGCAGCCTGATTTCGCAACCACTGAACCTTCTGCAAATCAACCTTATCAGCTCTCCTTGCCCTTGGAGATATAGGCAGGACACTTTCTAGCGAAGGGGAGTCAGTTATCTCTCTTCCTGTTCTGCTTCTCCTAGCTGTTCCCCACTCACTCTGCCCAGCTGTTGTTTTCCAAACTATGTCCCTCTGCAAACCAATTCTCTAAATCTATATACTTCTCCATTGTTAATGGGCAGCTTCAGAATTCTGGTCAGGAGCAGGAAGAGGGGGAGGTTCCAACCATTCCTCATCAGAGCTGTAATCCTCAGTCTGATCTCTAACACATATAAAATCACACAAATGTGATTTTATGAATGAAAAGCAGCATTTGAAATTCACTGTGTAGTTTCTACCTGGTATGTTATTCTGTCTTGGCAAAATAGTCAAATTTGAAAATGTTTTTTAAGTGTAAAAATGGGGGCGGGGGAATCATGATAATACATGTGCGAAGTAATCTAGCCTTAATTTTTCTCCACATCATTACCTATTTTTCCATTGGCAACTTGTAAAATTCCTTTCTTTAATTACCAAGTTCCTATTTTTGTCATCTCTGTTAGATGTTGAATTTCAGAAATAAGTGTATATTGAGCTTGCTTTTTCATGTTTCCTATGTAGCACCTGAAATCCATGCACCTCCAACACTTTCTGCTGAGGTTCTTCAGGAGTTGTCTTCCACTAATCTCTTGTCATCCATTAATTCCTTCAGGTGATGATATGGTGACAGATGGTCAGCCATCAACCAGCACTTTAAATTTAGCTGATCTTAAAGAACAGGTAAAACATACCTATTTTTATCCTTTATGCACAAAATTGATATTAATCCACATTTAACTCAATGGGACTTAATTGTAAGTAGAAACGTATAAGATTGCCCTGTAAATCATTTTGTTATGTGCATAATATTGCCAGGAGTAGAGTGGAGAGCTGAATTTTTGTAGGTAAAACATGCATTTTTACAACTAAAATCTTGGCTGCAGTCCACCTGACCAAAATCTCTTTAGCCTATTGAACAGATAGATGAACTGCTGGCCTGTGAACTGGCTCTGGTTCTAGCTCTTCAATCAACTTTATTTGTCCTGTCCATGCAAAATTGGTGTTATATTAGGTACTTTCCAGTACCGTGATACATCACCAGCTAAACATTGCAACTCACCAATATATCACGATACCTGAAATAAGGATGGAGCTATGTCAAGGCACTGGCTGACTTCATGGTTTTTCTCGCATTGTGATTTTTGCCTGCGCCTGCTCTTTAATTTGCTGCCGCCTGCATGAGGCCAGGGAAAGCTGAGCCGGCAGAGTTAACAGGAGTTGCAGGAATCAAGAGAAGTATTTCCTGGCTTTACAGATTTCCTCACATTATGAGTTTCCATAGCACACACAGACAAACACACACATACACACACACATAATGATTTGTGATATATTGTCAGGTCAAAAATTATGAAACTTATATAATGATACGGACTTCAGACCGGTTTTGGATGATATATCAGCCAACCCTACTTTCCGGTCAATCCCATACCTGAGGATCTGAGGGGCAATTGAAATCTCTGCTAAAAAGGGGGGGGGCAATTGTTTTAGGGGTTTCAATGTAAACCTCTTCCTGGGCTGAGAGCCACAATGATGAAAAATGCTCCTGCTTCTCTGCTGATACAGTGAGGGGGGGAAAGTATTTGACCCCCTGCTAAATTTGCCCATTTGCCTTCTGACGAAGAAATGACCTACCATTTTAATGGTAGGTTTATTGTAGCTGTGAGACACAGAATAACAACAGGAAAACATCGGGTTGACTGAGGAGTGTGCGGCCTTGGCTCTCTTTAATGTCTCTGCATAGGTATGCACTGTGTGTGTATGCATGCATGTGCAAAAGTGTCATGGTGGCTAGTAATGCCCACTGCTGGCAGACAGCCCTTAGAGGGGTTGTTGTGAAACCCTTTGGTCAAAAAAGATTGGTCACAAGTGCTAACCTCTTTCAATTTCAGAGCTGCAGCACCCTATTGCAACCATGGAGCCCATTTGAAATCAGTGCTACAACTGCACCATCATGTCTTTAATTAAGTACTGTTGCTTTTGATAGTTTGTAGTCATAGGTCACATTAGGTGGGTTGGAGCCAAAATTTTGTCTCTCTCTTTGATCTGTAGCAATGTGCCCTGTGCATTTTGAAATGGAAGCTATGATACTGACCAGCTTGAGAAGAATATTGCATTTTCTTTTTGTCATTGTATTTTTTCTTATAGTTATGTAATCCATTAGAATAATTAAAAGAAACCCAGTGGTATTTTTGGCACTTTCCCCCTTCAGCAGCAGATTTCCTGTGCCATGCTGATTTTGAGACTCTTCTCAGTTTCAAAAATGTCTTGCTACAGGGACTGCATTGGGTAAGTTCTGCTGTTTGGGAAACCAAGGTCCAAAGTCACCTTGGACACACACAATTAGTGGCATGCTTCATTGGCTCATTGCGAAAATCCCTCTTATTCAGACAAGCCTGGAACTATATATATATTCATGTACCTTTATTATCTGCATCTCAGGAAGGTATTGCTATGGAAATGGTTTCTCATTGTAATTTTTATCTCTTGTCATTTCTATGCATTTTTGTACCTTCAATAAAATAGGTTCCATTATCAGTTGATCCTTCTTTGAATGCACCAGTTTCCTGTCTGAGTGTAACTGAAGATGTGGAAACAGCAAGTGAAAATGATAGGAAACTAGAATTGGATGAAGCAAATAAAGAAACACTTCAGCAAACACTTTCAAGTCTAGAAGTTAAACTTAAAGCTGCTGATGAAGAAAAATGTAGAATAAAAAAGGTATAACTAAAACTCCTCAGCGTCATCCTTTGAAATCTATGGGTAATTTCATTATGGTTGTAGCTGGCAGCATCACCTATAGTTAGACTTGTCTAACACTTTCCAGTCCAAGGTCCTGTCCTCAGTTGCTGTTTGCTTTGCCCAAATCTAACCATTTTGGTTTCCTTTCCATGCTGGGTGTCTGACTCAGTTTGACTTATTTGGAAAGTTTCAGGAAAGAAGGTCAAGATCTTCTGGTGAATATCATATTAATACTGTTAATTCTGCTGAGCTTAAAAAACCCTTAAATTCAGTGGCTTATCAGTTCCTCTCTTTGCCCAAAAGTTGACTAATATTTAATTGTTTAATATTTTTTGTGGAAAGTCTGGCTTAGAATTTAAAAATAGGTTCAGTACTTCTTCATGTTAATCTTAAATCTTTTTTAGGAGTTAGAAGATTTGTTGGAAAAATACAGGATTCTGGAAACAGATTTCCTGAAACACAAGGAGGATAAAGTGATTTCACATGAAGATCAGTACAACAAGCTTCAGGTAACTTGTTTTTCTCTCACCACTTCCCTAAGGCTAAATATGTGGTCCAATACACATTTTTCTTTTTCAGTGACTTGCATGGTTGCCTGAAAGTTTCAAAAACATTTTTTTTTCTTTCAGAACAGGACTTTAAAAAAGTAGAAGCTCTCTTGCCACTGAATTTTATAACATAAAGCCACGGGTCCCCTCTTCCCAAGGTTAACCCTCCCCCCAAAAACCAAAACCAAAAAATGCATCCCATCAGCTGTTTGGCATTTTCATAGGCAAACATTAAATTTCTATCAGTTTTTCAGTGCTTTGGAGAACTTGTAACAATGACTTCAAAATTTTAATCTTTTTCTTTTCTCTGGAAGTATCATATGGTATTTCCCTTTGACGGTGTTTGTCTGGAATGAACGTATAATTATTTTGCCAATGGCTGCTCTCCATTATTTGGTGGTAACAGATTCAAAGGAAGCCCAGAGAGGTTGTTTGGTATCTGTGTGTTACATGCAACTAAATCATTCCTCGAGTATGCCCACAGAATTTTATGGATGAATTGGTTAAGTCCATTGATTTCAGTGGGATTACTTTGAGTATGACTTAGATGGGCACATGACTCAAATTCATGTTTTCACATTTGCTCCATACTAGGCATAATTTGCCCATAAAGGTTGAGTACATAATGTCTTCATTCAGTAAATAAATTGAAAATATTCTTTGTGTGGAAGTGATGTCATGGGTGTCTGAGAGCCAGTTGTTACCAGCTTTGACACCTGTTGCCCTATGTAAAAAAGGTAAAGGTAAATGATCCCATAAAGTCATGCTATAAAGTCGTTTTTTTGGAGCGGCCTCTGCAGCATTTGTTTGGGGGAATGTTTAATGACTCACAATCAGCCCATGGAGCGATAGGCCGCTTGTGAGTGCTCCAGCATGGTGGCCAAGACAACAAAGCAGAGCTGGCGATGGAGGAAACCAAGAGAAGTGAAGGTTGCCTTTCATTGTATCTACCTATTATTTCAACCAAATACCTCTCTAAATAGGCACAAGTTATTTAGGCTAAAAGTAATTAAGTTGTATTAAAGCTGAAGCTGTGGGAAGCCCCAAAAATTTCATGTACAAAAAAGTTACAAGCCAGTCTATTTACAAGTCAGTTTATTTTTCAGTCCAAGATTATTAAATGCTATTTGCCATTTAGCAATCAGAGATCTAGGAATAGGGATAGGTAAAACTTGAAACAAGAACAACTTTTATGTAGATAGGCCTATGTAACTGTTAACATTTTTTGATCAGCCAATCGTTTTAATGATAACTTCTGTCTGTTTCTATTGTTGTACACCACAGTGTTATATTGTATGTATTGGTGGCATATGAATACTTTTATAAGTAACTTAATTTACGCAATTCCATCATTTTTAGGAATTCAGTTCTTCCTTCAAAATACAGGTTGGATTTAGCTCATCAGGCTATGTCCCTATTAATCTTATTGTTAACCAGGCTATAATTTAAGGTAAATCATTTAAGTTCCCAGGTAAATAAACATCTATATATTGAAGAGAAAGGGAAATCTTAATTCCAGTTAAATGACATGTCACAAGTTGTATGTTGGAGTCAAATTTAAGAAATAAGGATTTAGATTTATTATAATTTATCCTGTAGGCAACCAAAATACTAAAGTCTTGGAGGTTAACCATAGCTTTTGGGAGGGAGGTTAACAGATTATATGACAAAACTGCCATATCACCTTAACATAGGAGATGGGTCTTGGTTGTCATTTACAGCCCCTTATATATGCATCTGTGTGAAGAAACAAAGTGATGGCTGATCTTCCATTCTGGTCATCTTGGGCCCATCTGGGATTAGCACCACCTAGTTCTTGAGGCAGGAACTCTAGTTACTTCACAGGATCTTTTTCTGGTGGTGTTCCTGGAAGTGGCAGATTCAGTCTTATCTGAATCAGGGTGGGTTGAGGGCAGGTTTTATGAGCAAAATTTTCAGATGAAAAATGAGAGAGAAATTGCTGAGGTGAGGTCTAAGCAGTACTTGAACCAACTTGTGTTTCCCCTTTTGCTCTTCAAATCAGACTTCTTCCTTAACCTGCACGTTAACAGGGCAGACCTGCTTCCATCACACCTAGTTTGGTCATCGATCAGCCCATGTATTCAGCTCCACCCTTAGTTGAAAAGCATGAATTTTTGAAATCAAACTTTAAAATGTAGAACAATGTTGTTTCGTTTAGTGCACATGAATATGAACAGCATGGAAATATATCTTGGAGGTAGGTACATTCTGTGGCTAAGAGTATTAGAAAATGTATGTTTTCTTTTAAAAGTAATATGACATCGTGTTAAATATCATCTTCTAACAAAATATTTAGGTTGGTTTTAGGTGCAGACATAGAGGAGACAGAACACTAATAATGAAAAATGGGTGTTTAAAAAGTTACCTATTATACCTGCCACTAAATTTATAAATGAAATTCCAGGAACTTTTGCAGGTCATAGAAGAGCTTGAAAATATGGTGCATTGAGGAAAGTAGCAGGAAAAGGGTACTTTCTTAGTTTCTAGCCTTGTTTTTGCTAGTTGATTAAACACATTTATGCATATGCCCACTTCTGTTGAGTTTTTCTGCCTGGACATTTCAATTTATTTTTGGCATGTCTTTGTGCTTTTGAATTCCTTTCCTTGTTTTATTCAGTGACATCCCCCCCCCAAACCTCCCAGAGCCACAAACTCAACTTATACAGCAAACTGTGTATTGAACAAAGTAGATTAATGAAGAAGCACATAGAAAAGAATAGATAAATATAGCACTACCTAATGCTAGAATGTATCTGGAATGACTTTAAATCCTAAAGGGCACAATAACTGGCAGAAAATTTACTTTTTCCAATTTGTACACTTTCTAATACTGCCTGGGCTCCTTTCAGCTAGCATCTTTCAATCCCAGCTGTATCCAGCAATGAGGGTGTCAAGCCATCAGATCCATTTCCAGTGATTGCCTCAGAAATGCTAAGCATACATTGCTTTTCCTCCTCTTTTAGGTTTCATTTAAATATAAAGGTCTCCTACTAAATATGAAAAAACAACCCAGAATTATGTTAGGACTAGAGCAATGATTTGATCAATGTGATCCATTATGAAAATGCTCACAAAATTCCTGCCTTTAAAATGGTCAGTTTGTATATTCCATAGTATTTGAAGTTCTTCATTTTGGAGTATTACTTTTGCTATGTAGAAACTTCTTTTAGGAACATGAAGATAACTTTAGCTCACTTCAGGTGATTTTCTAAACTAGGGGTAACCAATGTGGTGCCCTCCAGGTGTTTGGGAAGTGAAAAGAAGCTTTTGCTCCCCTCTTCTCAAATGTGTACGGCAGTGATTTTCAATCAGTGTGCCATGGCACCCTGGGGTGCCACAAATAATGGCCAGGGGTGCTATGGGCAACACTGGCCTATGTCCATTTTTCTTTCCCTTCCTCCTCTGATGTCCTCTCGTATCTCTGCCTCCCAAAGGCTTGCACAACTGTTTGTTGCAGCAGCCTTGGCTACAAGCGCCGCAGGGGAATGGTGCTGGTTGCCAAGAGCTGAGGCGGCCTCAGAGTAAGCAGGCAGGCAGGCAAGGGAGCCCAGCCAGCCAGTCCATGAGCCCTTGCTGTTGGGAATGGACAGACAAGTCCCATGCCCCTGTGGGTCCGTGTGAGGAAGCACCTCTCTTTGGGGCAGGAGGGGCAGCTCAGAGACAAGGCGGCAGCAGCGGCTGCCCAGTGGACACCCAAGGAGAGGGGAGAGGAGGCTGAGGTAACGCTCCACAAGGGAGGGTGTCTGAAAAAGGATGAGAGGCTGCTCGCTCTGCAGGCAGGAGGTGACATAACTGGGCTCCTGAGCCCCACAGGGGTACTGCAGAAAGAAGATAGTTGGTTAAGGGAGCCGTGGACTCCAAAAGGTTGGAAACCTCTAGTGTAAGGATAGAAGAGAGGGAGCATGTGAATCATAGGGCTGCTTGCTGCTCATTAGCAATTCCCACTCACCCCTTCCCAACAGGTGGGCAGAGTTTGCGGCCCTAAGCGGGGCCACCTGGCTGGGTGCCCCCCCCAAGTAACTGTGGGCTTGGCCCACCCCTGGTGGCCAATGGGATGCCGTCGGGGGTGTGGCCTGGGAGTAGGTTTAGGGGCCGGTTCCCGGTCAAGACTCACTTGTCTTTTTCTCTTCTAGGGTCATGTAAATCATGTTTTTTTAAGATCATGTTCTCAAGCCGGGTCATTGCAATTTGCTATCTATAAACAAACTATGGAGCAGCAGCAGTAATATCTAAAGCCAGTGGTGTAGACATCTATATTAGCACATCTGAGAATTCGTTATCACTGCCTTAAAGAACAAATAGAATAAACCTTAATGTTTGTTTTCATGTTATGTAACCTTACAAAAAGTAATGCCTGGCTTGTTTTTCTGTTATCTCTATCCCTTTTTTCTGTTGTATTGTTTATACAGGTAACTTGCATTTTGGCTGGGGGTGTGTGTTATTTTTGTTTGTTACTATGTTATGTATTTTTGTGATTTTATATTGTAAACCATGCTGTGATCCTCAGATGGACAGTATAGAAATAAAATAAAATAATTTAGGGGTTATATTCTGGGGATTGCACTTATACACAAAAACATTTATTCCCAAACTACCCCCTTGCACCCCTTTGGAACTGCCCCCAATCTTATCTTCCAAAGCCATCATGTCAAAAGAGTCTTGTCCACCAAGCAAAGCTCTCTTCCTTGCTCACTGGGCTCTGGGAGGCCCTTGTGAGATCCAAGTTCCAGCGAGATCTCATGAGAGCCTCCCAGAATGTAGTAGGGAAGTCTGAGAGCTTACTGTAAAAGCTCTTTACTCTGCAGGAAAACCCTGCACAAAAAGAGCTTCTGTGCCTTTAATTGGTGTAATTTCAACTGTCTTGCCTTCAGTTGCATAAAACTGAAATTGTACATGTTAAACGTGCATAAGTTGTGAGTTACCGTACTTTTCGCACCATA